TAGCCGGGCCAGGCACCTGGGGGAGGTTACTGGTGAGGAAGCAGAGGCTGAGAAGCTAAGCAACGTGCCTGAAATCTCCCAGCTTCTACGGGCGCAGCATCAGGGTGAACCTAAGTTCCCTGCCACTTCCCAACCGTGACCAGAGAGCAAAGTCCACACTCCCGTGTCCACTGGCCCCAGGGAAAGATATGGGGGTGAGCGGGAGGGTAGGAGGGAGGTACCTTGACCTTGATCCAGTTGCTGGAGAGGAACAGGGTGGGGCCAGAAGTAAGAAAAGGCTGTGATTCTCAGCTGCAGGCTTGACAAGAATGTGGAGCCACAGGAACCCGGATGATTTGCTGCTTCCCATGTCCTCCTCCTTCCAGAAAACTTCAGGAAACTGCAGGTCAGGCTGTGGATCTTCAAACTGCAGCCCCTGCCTCCCTCTCGGCCTCTTCCTGATGCCCTTCCCCCGCACCGGAGGCCTGCTCCTGACCCCCAGCTCCTGACTCCCAGCACACCATACTCCAGCCCCTCTCCATGTGCAGGGCAGGCTGTTAGGAAGAGCAGTGACAGCATAGCCGGTTTTCATTTGCTAAGAGACTGCTGGACAGTGCATACATTCATCATTTATTCATTCTACACCTCTGTTCTAGAAAGGATTTAAGGCACACTTCATCACTTATTCATACAGTAAATTCTCACTTAATGTTGTCAACAGGTTCTTGGAAACTGCAACTTTAAGTGAAATCATGTATAATGAAACCAGTTTTACTTACTATCGGCTAATTGAAACAACAGTTAAGTTCCTACAGCCTATTTCGGGTCACAGAAACATCGCCAAACTTCTAAACAAGTCCCCCCAACACTTCTAATATTAAACATTTAAACAAATGTAAGCTATCCATCCATTTAAGAAAGATTAATAAAAACAACTAAGAGGATTATTTTCTAACCCTCTTATTCCAATTCAGAGTCACGGGTGGCCTCTCCCAGCCGCTCAAGGACCCACCCACCCTGAACAAGACGCCCTTCCCTGGCAGGGAGCACTCACGCACACCTCCACTCACTCGGATCAGGACCGCGTAGACCCCCGATCCCCCTAGCGAGCTTGTCTTTGGGATGTGGGAGGAAGCGGGTCCCTGAAGAAAACCTGCACAGACATGCGAGAATGTGCAAACTCCACAAAGGAGTGACCTCGCTGGGAACTGATTTTTCCCCTCATCAACTTTGTAACAAAACAATGTTATTCAGGCCCTGCTGTACCCTTACATTGTTTCACTCAACCCTGGTTCACTCACTTCCTCATGCATCATGTATTCACTCTACAGTCTTTTCACTGCAAAGACCATTGATCCCACGTGCTGCCTCTTTTCTCAGGTGCTCCCAGGGCGCCTGGCCCAATTCTGGATGTAACCCAGAATTCAAGAACTGCAGGGCAAGCCCTTGGACAACAGCTGCCTCATTCTGCAGAGGAGAAGCTGGTCAGCAGCCACCTAAGGTCAAGGCCATACTGGAAAGAGAAACCCCATCTTGGGCTTGTAGTTCAGGGTATGAGGAAGCCAGCGAGAGACACGGTGAAAGGAAGCCGAGGCCCCCAGAGGCCGGTCTATGTGGCAAGGAACCTGCTTAGCTTTGGGGTCTGACAACCAGGGTTCCAGCCCCAGCTGTTCACTGCCTCTGCCCAAATGCTTACACCCTGGGCATCTCCACCAGGATGTCTCATAAGCACCTCCAACTCATGTGTAACCTCAGTTCTCTACCCACCTGCATAGGCCTCCTGTTCCAAACCTGCTCCATCCACCCCATCTCAGAGTGGCTCCACTCTCCCCAGCTTCGGATACCAGAGGTCTGGGCATCTCCCTCCCCACCACCCCCACTTGACCAACTGCCAAGTCCTGTCCTCTAACATCCCAAGTTGCTCTTGCAGTCCCTGCCCCTCCCCATGCCTGCTGACTGCTGCCTGCTGTGCGCCAGCTCCTCTGCCACTGGCCTACGCTGGACAAGTGCCGCAGCCTCTCCGTGGACCGGACTCTGCATCGTCTCGACACGGGCTGCCCTTGGTCCCTAGAGGAATAGAGATCCCATGTGGGTGAGTCTGGAGGCTGCCCCAGCTCTACCATGAAGTAGCCATGCAGATCCACACACGACCTTTCTGTCTCTATCATCTGTGACTGATTTCTCAGGTCGCAGACAGCTAATAATAATGACCTTCATTCCCTAATCACACCCTAAGGCCAGGTGCTGTGCTAGTACTTTATATTATTTAACCAACAGAACAACCCTGAGGCTGGCACTACCCCCATTTTATAGGTGAGGAAAGTGAGGCATTGAGAAGCTACATAACTTGGCCCCTGATTACACAGCCAGTTCGTGGAGTCAGGATTCAAACCCAGGTCTGACCAAGCCCAAGTCCACACTCCGCGGGTGCGGGAACTTTAGGGCGCTGGGAGCACCCAGAGCTCCCCACTCCTTAGTTGACAATACCCTCACTCCTTTCATCATGGGAGGGTTATGAACCTACTTCCTCCACTCTGGGCAGCAAGAATAAAAACCCTGCGAGTTGGCTGCAGCTGCTGAATGCCCTGCATTCCTAGCGCAGTAAGTACCAGGCGGAGTTCAGCTGTGCCTGTCCCCTCACAAGGGCTGCTGGCTGGCCAGCACTGCCACTGGACCTGAACCAAGCCACTGGGAAATGGCCCCAAACTGGGCACGTACACAGTGTCCGTGACCTTGGGCTCCTGAAACGGCCCATCTCCCAGCAAGGTGAGAGGAGTGCTGAGAGGCTGTGTCAGCACACCTTGATCTGGCTTAATTTCCACAATGGGGACAGGAGACTGGTGTTGAATTCAAAGCGTTAACCCTGGGGCTGCTCAGGTGGATCTGAATGCCTGTGAGCCACCACAGCTAAATGTCAGGACCCGGTAGTGGGGGCAGAAGAGATGGTACTGGATAGGCTGTCCTTTAGTCCAGGGAACCAGGGAAGAAGGCACTGTGGAGGGTAAGGAGGCCTGGCTGGCAATGGCCTGGCAATCAAAATGCTTGGCAGGATCCCAACTCTGCACTGTTGGGACCCAGTAAGGTAAGAAATGGAGTGCTTGGAAAGCTACCAAGAGCACCATGAATGTTTGGACTTATTATTCAGAGGCCGCTTGTGTTTTTCCTTCCTTTGGGAGGGGGGCCGAGTTGTAGGATGGATCCCAGGACAGTGCAGGCTGTAGAACTGCGCTGACCCCGTTTGATCCTGGCTCTTCAGCTCTGGGAACCTGGACCAAGCTCTGTAACCTCCCTGGTGAAGAATGGCTTTCCCCTACACATGCCTGGGAGTGTCACCTCACCCTTCCTTCTCCTTTGCTCACTGTTCCAACTGACCTTTTCACTACCTTCTCTCAACACACAAAACGTGGGCCTTTGCACTCGGTGTCCCTGGGTATATGCAACTTCACGTATCTGCCCAAAAGACACCAATCAATGTGTTGTTTTCGGACTATCCTATTCCAAATGGTAACTCCTGCCCTTGATTTTTCTCTGGAACATGTATCCCCATCCAACACACAAAATATGGTTTATCACCTGTCTCCACCCATTAAAATTTAAACCCATGAGGACAGGGATTTTGTTTTGTTTTTCAAATCCTCACCTGAGGAAGATGTGTTTTCTTTGTTGATTTTAGAGAAAGTGTAGTGGCAGGGGTTTGGGGGCGGGGGCAGTGAGAGGAGAGAGAGAAATATCAATATGAGAAACGATCAGTTGCCTCTCACACTGACCAGAGCTTTTTTTTTTTTAATTTAAAAATTTTTAAATGTCATTTGTTTTTAGGGATTTTGTCTTTTATGCACTTCCATTTCCCCCTTGCCTAGCAGTGCCTTGCAGGCTCACCTGGAGGAAAAGGATCCAACCTCTGCATAAAATCCTAAAGCGTGCCCGGCACAGTAGGTTCCTAGAGCTGCTGTAACAAATTATATGAACTTGGTGGCTTAAAACAGTAACGTATTCTCAGTCCTGGAGGCCAAAAGCCCCAAATCAAGGTGTCAGCTCTCAGGGAGAACCCTTCCTTGCCTCTCCCAGCTTTGGTGGTTGCAGGCTGCATAACTCCAGTCTCTGCCTGTCTTCACGTGGCCTTCTCCTTGTGTCTGTGTGTCTTACAATGGCATGTGTCAGAGGACTGAGGGGCCACCTGGCTAGTCTAGGACGATCTTATCTTGAGAGCCTTAACTTACAAACGTGAAGACCTTTTTCTAAACGTCACATTGCCAGGATCCAGGGGTTAGGATGTGGAATATCTTTTTGGGGACCAGCATTCAACCCACTATAGTATTCAATAGTAATTATCACATGAATGGGTTTCCAGTGGGAAGAATCAGAAGACCTGGCTAGAGAAGACAGTAGAAAAATGTAGTCATTTGGAGCCAACTCTTGCTTTTTGTATAACGATGTGAGCTTGATTGAGTCACTTAACTCCCTGAGTCTGTTTCCTCATCAATAAAATGGGGTAACTACTGCTAAACCTGAGCTGTAAGGTTAAGCAATGTACATGGATTCCTCTTAGCACAGTTCCTGGCAGTAGGAGGTGTTCTGTGGCACTTCCACTAACTTGCATGCTCAGAGGATTCTTGTGAGGTGCAAATAAGATACTGAAAGTGAAAATGCCCTATAGACTGTATGGTATTTTATGAATAAAGGGATTAAATAATTCAATTTAAACACTAATAACTGCCCAGCCAGTATGGCTCAGTGGTTGAGCATTGACCTATGAACCAGGAGGTAACAGTTTGATTCCCTGGTCAGAGCACATGCCTGGATTGCAGGTTCAATCCCCAGTGGATCTCTCATCATTGATGTTTCTATAGCTCCCTTCCTTTCCCTTCCTCTCTGGTATCAATAAAAACATTTTTTAAAAAAAATAATAAACTTAAAAAAACCCCAAACACACTAATAACTGATGCATCGTGACACATGGGAAATTACCTATTGTTGCCCTCATCCACAAACGCTCCCCAACAATAATGAGATGACAAATCTGGCTCCAAAGAAGATCCTTTACTGAGACCTACTGAAAACATTTCAGTCCTTGACTCAAATAAACTTCAACTCGGTTGACAGGCTGACTACTGAGCTAGGTACAAGCTCCACCGTGGCAAAATCACTCCCCACCGACGACATCAAAATAAGTTCATGATAATGCGAGTGTGAATGTCCTCAGGGTCTCTGTCCCATCTTCTTCAGAGTTCGATTGAGCTAGAAGAGAAAAAGGAGAGATAAGCCCTGTCCTACGGCGTGTGTGATCACCAGGTCAAAGGCTTCCAGGCCGGCCCTCTGAAGTCAGGGAGGGGGAAGCTGATGTGAGTGTGGGCAGCTACTCTGTGGAAAGGCCCAGAGAGGTCCTCCACCGGACATTCACAGGACCTCTCACAATTCTTTCACATTGTTCTTCTCCTTGCCCTTCACACTCAACAGACACACCCTTCCCTACACTGTTCTGCCCATTTTATACACAGGAAAGCGATTCAGTGGCTAGACTTGCCAGGGCTGTATGACTACCCTGCAGGAGCCTGGTGGCATGGACCACAGCAGAGCAGTGACCTCTGCTGGTGACTCAAAGCACCAGGACAAAAAGAGATCCAATACCCTAGTCGTGTTTGGCCTGACCCACAAGCCCTCTCCTTGGGCAAGACATGGAATGCACCAAGTCTGTCAAAACAGAGCTGCTCTCTGTCCTCTGCCTGCGGAGCTGGCCAGACCTGTCTAAGTTGCAAAATAACTGCCAAATGGGGAGGGAGGGTGAGAGCAGGCAGTGAATCCACCCATATTAGGAAACACTATGGAGGGAGGCAGGGCTGCTGGCCACCCGCAGAGGGAGATCTTGGAAAGAGATGCTCCAGAGAAGGCTGACACAGCAACTCCTACAGGCCCAACCCACTCCCCAAACCCTAAGCAGCTAGCCAGTCTAGCTCAGAAACTTCAAGGGTCAGTTTGGGGCTTTCTTAAAAAGAAAAAAGAAAAAGATTAAAACTCCCACCTAGTTCCTAACTTCTGTCCCCAGCCCAGACACCTCTCTCAGACCTCTCACCTCCTCAAATTTATGAATCTGCCGGATGAAAAAATCCCCATAGCGTCTGGCAACTTTGGTGTCTGCAATGTGGATCATGTCCTGTGGGAAAAGCAAAGGCAGATCAAAGCGGTGCGGCGGAGCCACTTACATACTTGCAGATAATCACAATGCTAATTGCTAGATAAACCCAGAAAGTGCTTTTCCCGTTAATAGCAGCTCTTTGTAGATGACTGATTTTTATTTTCTTCTTGCTAACTCATTAATTTTGTAGTCTTTTTCAATGAACACGAATCTTTTGGCAATTAAAAACATTTAAAACAGCATTTCATCCTCATACATGGGTTGCAAATTAGCCAAGATTTTACATTTTGTTCTTAAGCTCAAATATTTTGTCGAACACCACTTTCCCTGTAAGTTCCTACATAATCCAAGTTAAGACCCAAGAACTTTCTGAATCTTTGACAGGATTTTTTTAAGTCAGGGGAGAAAAAGTACCCCCACCTTCCCGCCCCAAAAGCAGCATTTTGCCAAAGACAAACCTGAACCAGGAAGAAAAACAATAAAAACAAAACATGCAGTTAAAACCTTTTCCATTTGGGACTGACTCATATTATAGTTAATTTAACCTAAATCTCATAGCAAAATTTATTAATTATAACCAAGTTGCTAATTCTTGGGAGAAGTGTTTTATTGAAGACTACCCAGATATTTGGGACTAGTTCATCGGGTCACTAAGATATTACACAGGTATGCAGCACGTTACTGATATTACCAAAGAATGTGTATATGTAAGCCATTGGGAATAAACTAAAAAAGAACTTTAGGTAGTTGATGTGATACCACACAGGACCAACAATTTTGTTTGATGATTTTTAAAAGCAGGATTTAAAACACATTGAAACAATAACAACAACAACAACAAAAGAAGAAAACACATGGAAAAACTTTCCACTGCTGATGTGTTTCTTCTTCTGGTGAGTCTGTTCATGTCAAGGACAGCTAAATTCTGACAAACACCGAGTCTTCCAAAAGCCATAAACTCTAAATGAGAGGACTATGTTTAACAAGATGAGCTTTCAAAAACAAACTACCCAGTCCAGCTGGTGTGGCTCAGTGGATGAGCGTGGACCTATGAACCAGGTCACAGGCTGGATCTTACAGGAGGCAGCTGATCGATGAGTCTCTCTCATCACTGATGTTTCTCTCTCTCTCTCTCTCCCTCCCTCTTCCTTCTACTCTGAAATCAATAAAAATATTTAAAAAAACAAAACACTCTCTACCCAAACTGACCTGGCAACCAGGTATATACAAAGAGAATATGTTCACACAAAAACGTGTTTGCAAATATTCGTAACAGTGTTATCCACAATAGACAAAAAGTGAAAACTCAATTATTCATCAAATAATTAATCAACAAAATGTGATTCAGCCATAAAAGGAATAAAGTACTGATCCATGCTACAACCTGGACGAAACTTAAAAATATGCTCAATGAAAGAAGCCAAACACAAAAGGTCACATGTTTTGTGATTCCATTTATATGAAATCTTAGGAAGAGACAAATCCAGAGACAGAAGCAGATTCCTGGTTTGCCAGAGATTAGGTGAACTGGGAATGACTGCAGGGAGTTTCTTTTTGGAGGTAATGGAAATAGTGCGGAATTAGTGATGATGGCTACACAACATTGTGAATATGTTAACAGTCATCTAAAACACTGTCAAAAAATGAATGATGTTTAGATCAACACACTTTCTTAAAACACCTAAAAATGCAGAATAAATTAAATCTCCTTAGAGCATCACAGAGTTGAAAAAAGAATGAAGAACTATTCCGTAAGCAAAGCATAGAAGCCCTTTCTGTGCGGAGGGCATTTGCTAACCCTAGAAAATTTGGACAGAGATAAACCAAGGCCAGGGCCAGGCTAACAGAAGACCCTCCTTCTAATGCTGGGATCCTAAAAGGCTGCATCCTCAAGCTAAACATAAATCAGAAGAGACCCGCCATCCCACTCCTGACACCAAGCAATGCTCTCCAAGGGTGGAGAGGTGAATAAAGAAAGAAAGAAGACCCATCCCCGAGACATCAGAAACACAGGTGATTCTTCTGATAATCTGCAGCCTAAGCTTGCCGCCGGGTTGATCCAGGGAACCACAGTCTTGTAAGCTCAGTCTATGTTGGTCCCAGACCAGTGGTCGGCAAACTGCGGCCTCTTGAGTGTGGCTCTTCCACAAAATACCACGTGCGGGCGCGCACGTACAGTGCGATTGAAACTTTGTGGCCACACTCAAGGGGCCAAAGAGCCGCAGTTTGCCGACCACTGTCCCAGACCAATAACATCTCTAGGCAAGTTTAAGAGGAAAAAACAAGTAAGCTCTAGAGAAATAAATATTCACCCTAGCTTCAAAGAATGTCAACAAATAGTTTTTCAAGGTCAAATGAACCCTCTGTAGTAAAAAATACGCAAGCACATAAGGACATACTGCACCATGAGCAAGAAAGAATTACAGAAAGAAATAGAGCTGAAGAGATTAATTAGGGATAGAATGATCAGTCAAAACAAAGTTATCCAGAATAAAGGAAACAAGAAGATGGAAGAAGGGTTTAAGAGACATGGAGAACAGAGTGAGGTCTACACACATAGAAAAAAAAAAGAGAGAGGGAGAGAGAAAGAAAGAGCAAAAGACAAAAAAAAGAAAAGGAAAACAAGAACATTTTCTTAACTTGTGAGTGTATACATATGGGGGAAGTAAAGGGGGAAGTGATATTTTATAGAAAAAACAACTCTAGGAATCAAGCATATTTTAAGTCTGGGGAAAAAACTCAAGAAAATAAAACAATTTATTTCTTTAAAAAACCTCACTAGGACATTAAAATGTCCAACTTGAACGTAAAATCCCAATAGGGAAAACCAATACTGTTCCTCAACCCTCCTCTCCTCCAGAGAGGAAACCACCGCAATACTGCGTGTGCATACACAAGCATAAGGAAGGCTTAAAAACCCAAAACCAAAAACTTAAATGGACCGTTGACAGCTACCCCAAAAAGCTTTATGTGCACTTTTTGCAATAGCCAAAACCACCCAAATGTCCATTAGCAGCAAGAATGAAAAAAAAAAAAAAGGCAGTCAAAAATTAAGGTAGATATTGAATAGAGCGATGAACATGAATGAACTTTTGCTACACACAACACTGGATGTGATTCTCTCAAATGTAACGTTGAACAAAAGAGGCTAGACACAAAAAGAGCACATACTGGCCCTAGCCCATTTGGCTCAGTGGATAGAACGTTGGTCAGTGGACTGAAGGGTCCCAGGTTCAGTTCTGGCAAGGGCACACAAGGGCACATACCTCGGTTGCAGGCTCAATCCCTTGCCCTGCAATCCCTGGTGGGGTGTGTACGAGAGGCAACCAATCAATGTGTCTCTCTCACATGGCTGTTTCTCTCTGTCTATCCTCCTCCCTTCCACTCTCTCTAAAAACCAATGGGGAAATATCCTCTAGTGAGGATTTACAACAACAAAAAGAGCACATACACTGTAATCTATCTATCCATATAAAACCCTAATATGCAGATAGACCGAACGGAGGAACAACCAAACAACCAGTTGCTATGACGTGCGCTGACCACCAGGAGGCATGCACGGAACATAGCAGGCATCGGCAGCAGGTGGCAGAGCGCAGAACATGGCGGGTGTCAGCCGCAGCGGGATGGTGGAGGTCAGCGGGGGCACCAGATGAAGGTGGGGCGCTGGTCACTGTCATCGGGGAGAGCCTCTGGTGGTTACTGAAAATTTCTTGCTGCCCGCAATACCGCCTGGTGCTCACACCCGCTACCAGCGCCACCACTAGCACCTGCTGTCAGCGCCCGGCGCTGGCTCCAATCACATGGCACTGCCAGCGGGTGCGAGCCGTGGCTGCCAGCCCTGATCGCCCCTGAGGGCTTCTCCACCTCCCCCTGCTCCTGAGGGGCGATCGGGGCTGGCAGCCGGCAACTCGCACCCACTGCCGGTGCTGGCCCCAATTGCTCCACGCCATCAGCGGGTGTGAACGGGCCAGCGCTGTCAGCACATGGGAGCAGTGGTGGTGGGAGCAGAGCTGCCAGCAGACAGAGGACCGGGAGCCACAGTGGGAAGGGCTGGATAAGGGTGGGGAGGATGGGCCGAGACCCACCCCTGTGTCCACCGCAGCCTCTCGGCCCACAGTTACTTTCAAGGTGCACGAATTCATGCACTGGGCCCCTAGTTCCATTATAAGAAGTTCAGGCTCCCTCAGCCTGAAATGCTCTTCAATCAAATATTTGCTTGGCTAATTTCCTCACCTCCTTCAAGTCTTCAATTTCACTTTCTCTACAAAGCTTATCCTGAGCACCTTATTTAATACTGCAACTGTGCCTTCTTCCTTTTTTTTTTTTTTTTTAAGAATTTACCACCCCCCCCTTTATTTATTGATTTAGACACAGGAAAGACAGCAAGAGAAACATCAATTGGTTGTTCCACTTATTTATGCATTCATTGGTTGATTCTTGTATGTGCTCTAACCAGGGATTGAACCCACAACCCTGGCATATTGGAACAATGCTAACCAACTGAGCTACCCAGCCAGGCTGTAACCCATGCTTTCCACCACTACCCTGACTCCATAGCACTTGGCAACTTCTAACCTAATTTTTTGCTTAATTACAATGTTTACTGTCTATTCTTTAAAATTAGAATGTTAGCAAAAGTGCAGAAATCTCTGTTGATTTTGTTCGCCAATGTATCCCAAATGCCCAGAACCGTGACTGGAAGACAGTGGGAGCTCAAAAAATATTTGTTGCTAATGCATGAACAGAAAGTGGCCCAGAGAACCTAGCCCAAGGGGCGACCATACCTTATCGATGTAGAAGTCAACCTCAGAGGCTGACTGAAATTCGCCGTCTAGGGCAGAGATGCCGCTGGTCCACACCAGGTTCTTCATTTTGTGCTTGAAGACAAGAAGCTGGATGCGGAACTCCTGCTCTGTGAGGTCGAGGAAGCCGGCCAGCTTGGCCACAGGCATAGTGGTGTAGAGCTTGAGGAAGCTACGAATGGTTGAGAGCTGGGCCTGCTGCTGCACTTCATCAGAAAACACCTTCAGCTGCTGCAAGAAGGGTTCCTTGTGGTAGTTGGGGTGCACATTGTCGTAGTTGGGAACTACGGGAGACAGGAATTTCGGGCAGGAATAGCTGAAAAGCTCCTCGTAGACCTGTGGGTCACCCTTCTGCATACGTAGCATCTTATCCCCGTATTTCTCCCGCAGCTGGAGGTGAATGCTCTCATCGATACGCATAGGGTACATGGTGAGGGCGATGGCCAGCAGCGCATGCATCTGCTCATTCTGCTTGTTGATCTGGCGGTGAGGGTGAGATTGGAGTAGGGTCAAAAGAAATGGACTTTCCGAGGTCCCCACCATTCTCCCCAGCGCACTTCACAGATCCTTGACTTCCCCCTTTGTCTTGCACCACTCAGTTAACTTTCCCAATGTCTTTCCCAGGCCTTCCTCTAGCTCTACTCAATTCCAGCCTACTTCCGGGTCCTCCTTAGTTGTCTCCTGGATTCTTTCCTGGTAATTCTCAGTCTCTCCAGTCTGCCACACTCATTACTAGCAGGTCAAGCCTCCCACACCAGTTATGATCAATTCACCCAGAAACCTTTGATGGTATCGTAATGCCTATGGGACAAAGACTAAATACTTCAGCTGGGTAATGAAGGTTACCCCAGAATCTAACACCCAATTTGACTACTTTCTGCTCTCTAGCCAAAATGGTTTACTGTGCTGCTACATCACCATACACTTCCAAGTCTCCATAGCTTTGCTCTGCCTAAAAGCTCCTCCCAATTCTATGCATGTCCTTGGACCCATCCACCCCCATGGCAAACTGCCTGAGCACAATACCCTCATCATCTAACTCATTTTTAAACACCCACAGCCCAGAGAACACTCAGAAAATTGTTGCTGAATAAATAAGTGTAGGCACTGATGGGGATAAACTGGGGTTAAAAGGCACTGTCCTTATCAAAGTGTTCATGATCTGAGTAAATAGGCATTTACCAAAAACAGTCAGAAGCCCCCTTACCATCTCATACTTGTATGTGGTCCTCTGGAACATGCTCTTGGTCCTCTGGATGTAAAGGAGGATGTTGGCAAAGACCCGGATGGCATCCTGGTAGCGCCGCATCATCAGATATGCAAAACCAACATAATAGTATGTGGTGACCTGGCACTCGGGCACTCGGGAGTACATGCTCTGTGGAAGGAAATGGAAGAAGCACCCATGAGGCCCAAAACCAATTCATCCCAGACAGGACCTGAAAGTGAATGGGGCCTAGTGTCAGCTGGAGTCAGAGGCCCTGAGCATCATATCGCCCACTCACCAATTAGTTATGTGACCTGAGGCCTCCATTTTCTTAGCTGTAACAAAGGGACTGGACCGAGTAACCCCAAAATCTTCCAGCTCTAAACATTCTACACCTCAATTTTGTATTCTTCCTTGCTTTCTACTCCTTGCTTTTGTAAATAAGCCCCATAAAGGAACAGATAAATTAGAAGACAGACACATAAGTCAATCAAAAAGGTATCGATTTTTATGTGGCTAGGCAAAACAACCATAACTAATCATAGTACTATTTATACCACCTTAGAACTAAGTCTTTTGTTAATTAGGACTAGTGAAACTTGAATAGTAAATACCTGGCATTATCATTCTGTTTTGGAAACAGAATCAAAAGACGACTGAATATTTTAAGTCAACACCAAAGAGAAACTACCTTGTCCAGGTTCAGATTTTCACTGCAGTGGTTTCCCGGGTCTCAATTTTCAACTGGTCTAGGGAACAGGAGTCCGCTTTCCCCTCCCTTGTATTTGCCCTAACAGATGCAGACAGGCCGAGGAACAGTTAATTACCTTCTTGTTCAGTTCGATATTCTCCAGCACCTTGATGGCCTGGTAGTAATCCCCCAGCAGGGAGTGCAGACGCAGAAGCCCCACCAGGCTGAAGTAGCCAAGCATCTTGTAGAGGGAGTGCCGTCCATACTCCCCGGCCACACTCTCGGGGTCACCTGCGAGAGACAGACACTAACGCTGCAGCAGGGAGAGGTAAGGAAGGCAGGCTTGAGCATTGAATGTCACTCAGTGAACTCTTCACTCACTGCCGGCCTCTACAGCTTCCTGCCACAGGGAATAACTCTGCCTTCGAAGGAATGCCAGGAAATAGCATGCCTGGCCTTAGGCTAATCTTAAATTTACCTACAGTTGGGTGGAGGGTAGCAGTTCTTTTATTTTTTACTTTTTGGTCCCAACACACCTGAGAATATGAGGTTCCCTCTCACCAAGACCCCTCCTTCCCTTTTCAGGAAGCTCACAAGGTCAAAGCTATTTTCTTAATAACACTAAGATGCTATTTGCCTTTACCACTGAGTTGAAATTTACACCAATGATGCAAAAACAATGCCAGGTAAAACTACTGACAACTTGGCATAAATCAGGCAATGGCACCAAACTGTACCTAGTCATGGTATTCTTTGAAACCACACACTTGCAGTAAAAATAAATAAATAAATAAATAAATAAAAATAAAAGAATAGCGGTTTTTCCACAAAACACCATTTTTACTTGGGAAAAAAAAATGAGAGACACAAAAACTATGGACATTTAGATTTAGGCATTTAGCAGCCATTTTCTCAAAAATGAATGAAGCCAGGCTGTCACACTTCAATGAAAGCAACTGACAGTGTTTGCTGCCAAAGAAAAATTTGAGCTTTTAAGCAAAAATTCAACTTTTATAAAATTTGTATCTTAAAAGAAAACAAAAAACTCCTATCTGCCACTATGAGCTCAACAACTTCCAAATAAAGGCTTATCTGATGAGGCTGACAGCAAAAATAAAAGTGATTTTTTAAAAATTGTCTAACAAAAAAAAATGTCTAACCAAGTGTGTCAACATTTGGAAAGTTTTACAACTTAATGAACCAATATTTTACAAAATCATCCATGAGCAAAAGACCCATTCAAGCTGGAGAAACCAGTGAAATTTTTTTTTTATTCTCATCTGAGCATATTTTTCCATTGATTTTTTTTTTTTTTTTGAGAGAAAGAAGAAAGATTGATGTAAGAGAAACACATCGATTGGTTGCCTCCTGCACAAGCTGGGCCGGGGAGGAGCCTGCAACCAAGGTTCATGCCCTTGACCAGAACTGAACCAGGACCTTCGGTCCACAGGCCAACGCTCTATCCACTGAGCCAAACTGGCTAGGGCAACCAATAAATTTTAATGTGCCAAAGTAAAAGTTCACTGATACAGTTTCAGATTCCTCACTGCAGCTAAACTGTAAGACACTACCGCTTGTCAAGTTTCACTGTGGTATCAAAGCACATCCATACCACCTGAAAAGTCTGTTAAAAAACTTCTTTCTTTCCCAACTAATTACCTTTGTGAGGCCAGATTCCCCTCAACGTACTTCAACCAAATAGCACATTGCAGCAGACTGAAACCAGGAATAGAAATGAGAGCCCATCTCTTCTAGAAGCCAGACACTACAGAGATTTGTAAAAATGCCTCTCTTCTCAATGAAAAAACACCAACAAACCAACCAACCAAAAACTTACATATTAACTATGATCTTCTCAATCTATTAAGAGTGTAAAGTGGTCCTGACATCAAAACGTTAGAAAAGTGTGTCATCTTAAAGGCCCTGGAGAAACAGTAGGAATGTTTATAAACGCACATCTCAGAAGTGCTGGTTCAGTCTGTCAGCCAACTGCCAAGCCCAGTAGCCCCCAACTTTGGCACTCAGTTACCATTCACAACCAAAGAGGAACAACAGCCCATCCCTAGGAGGCGGTGACTCCTCCGCACTTCCTGCGGTCTCTATTCACGTGGAACAGATGGCAAGCAGCACTCACCTCCGCTTGTGTACACCTCCAACTGCCGGTTGATGTTGGACTTGTCTACCAGGGAGTGAAGGACATTGAGGACACTGTGAACATTCCAGATTTTGGGATTGGAACGAAGGAAGTCAATCTCCTCCTCTGACTTCTTGGCGGTCTTACAGCGGTACTGGCTAAATGACTGAAACTGTTGGGAAAGAAGGGAAAGATGCAGCAGTGGCATAAAATCCAAGGCGACAGCCCAAGTGCACAATGCAGAAGACGAGGCGATGCCCAGGACTCTGGACTGGGGAAAGGTGAGGGTGAGAATACTCCTACTCATGCTAAACCTCTCTGCACACTATTTGCTTTTTCAGAGCCATCTTTGATTAGCTGTGAATTCTGTTCATTACTAAATGTTAGTTGTTCTACAGTTCAGTAAAAATCTCTAAGATTAGAGGTAGTTTGTGAAAAAACAAAAAAACGAAGACACAACATTCATTTTGGAGTCAAACACAAGCCTAAAGTTATTTAATATACCTGAGCTCCACAATGCAGTTAATCTGACCACCAGAATGAGGTGGTTTGTAACAGATTTCTATTCATATGTGGCTTTGCATATGAATGATGATGTGGTGGAAAGGGGGTAGGTATCTGTATGTGTGTGTCATCCAATCTGAGCCATCTCTGTACCAAAGCCAAGTATAAAGGCATACATAGGGGTCATGCCACAGGTATTTGGAGCAGTGGTTCTATCAGATCAGCACGGGGCTGGTTCCAAGAATCACCCAGAGAATAACAGCATAAGAGACCATCTGCTCAATCGTAATTTTCAAAAAGCACCCTGGTTGATCCTGGTGCACACTCTGTTTCTATCTCTCTCTCCCTCTCCCTCCCTCTCTGAAATCAATAAACATATATGAAAAAAAAAAAGAAACATCAATGATGAGAGAGAATTACTGATTGGCTGCTTCCTGCACGTCCCTCACTGGGGATCGAGCCTGCAACCTGGCATGTGTCCTGACTAGGAATCGAACTGTGACCTCCTTGTTCATAGATCAACGTTCAACCACTGAGCCACACTGTTTGGGCTATATATACTATATATTTAAAAGGCAAATATCCTTCAACTAACAATTTTTATTTCTAATAATCCCTGGAGATATACCTATATGTTACACAGATATTCACTGTTTCAGTTTATAGTAGTGAAAATAAAAAACCCAAATGTTCACCACCAGGAGTGATATATCCATATCCTGTATACTGCACAAAAGAACTAGGCAGGTCTCTATACAGACATGTTAAGTGTTCCAAGTCATAGCAAAATACACAATATAGTAGGACATCATTTTTTTTAAAAATGTATTTTTGTTGATTTCAGAGAGGAAGAGGGAGAGAGAGAGAAACATCAATGATGAGTGAGAATCATTGATTGGCTGCCTCCTGCACGCCCTCTCCTGGGGATCGAGCCCGCAACCTGGGCATGTGCCCTTGACCGGAATCGAACCTGGGACCCTTCAGTCCACAGGTTGACGCTCTATCCACTGAGCCAAACCAGCTAGGGCAGGACATCATTTTTTAATGAAGTATTTTTATATGTACACATCTAATGTAAATGCCTGGGAAACATTAACCCCTAGAGTGCCGGGGAGCGTGATCGCGCTCCTCCTGTCTTTCGCCAAAAGTGCCAGGAGCACTATCAAAGCTTCGAAATGGCGCCCAGTTCTAAGTCTGCTTTTATTAGTGATGATGATATTGCTAAATATGTCAATGTAGTAAAGGTTTCCTTAAGTTTTTGAATATGTAACTTCATTTACTTGCGATTCATAATTTTTTTCCTAAACTGCTGTAAAATCAGCAAAAATGCCTTGGCAATTTTAGCATAGTTCCTAGGATATTGGTGGGCACTCAAAGGGTTAATGTGGTGCCTATCTATCCAGACAATAATTGCAAAGACAAAGAAGACATTTTCATTTTATCTGGTTTGAGGAAAAGAGATTTTTAAAAATACAGTATTAAAATATTTGCATATTACTTGCAGCAATAAAAATAAACAAAAGAGAGTGGCAGGGAAGAGCCACTCACCCCATGTGGCATGTATGTAGCTAGGAGGAATCACCAGCCAGGCCTTCACTGGCCAGTCTGTGCTAGAAATGAGAGCACCTTAGCCCCTTAAGAAAAGAACACCAGCTAAACCAAGAGAATTATGATTATCTTCAGGGATGAAGAACCTTAGCACAGATGACCCTCCAGGACTTGCTGCGAGTGAACAGGACTGCCAACCTTCTAAAATTATGCCAAACTAGAGGTGGACACAAGCCAAGGAGCCAGAGAGGGCAAACCAAGCTGTGTGGTTTGTGGCCTGAACTCACAAAAACACTGAAGTCTCATCGTGAGCAGGAAGCCTTTCTGGCAGAGCCCTAGGAAGGTTTTCTCAGCTCACCAATCACAACTTAGCAACACGTTACGCAGCATTCACAAAGTCTCTTTGGTCCAAGGGGCTGAAATGACATCTTTATTAAAAAAACAGATTCCCCTGATATACCCAGTGTGGGCTATACTACCCCCCAAAAGACATATGGAAACAGATGTTTTTCCAAATTCAATTATTTTGTTTTATAATTTATTTTATATTTTAAACAGAATTGGGCTAAAAGAAGGTGAAGTACAATGATACTGACCACAACCAGACACATATTATTTTGTGACAGGCACTGCGCTAAAGCACATATTCATAACCTCCACCTCCCCGCCCCCCCTCACCCCCCCGCCCAACACACACACAGAGTTATCTTCCCAAAGATCCCTGATTTAGAGAAACCAAGGGACAGTGTGATTAGTAATTTGCCCAATGTCCAGGGCTAGTGAACAGTAAAACTTGAACTTTTACCCCCAGGTACCACAGCTGCAGTATTTTACATCAGGCACAGTTCTCAGTGCACATCAACAACAGTACTCTGAGGTGGTAAGATTTCCATTTTGATAAACATGTTCTATTTTATTCTGATCTAGAATGTACTTAAGTAAACACTATCACAATCAGGATAGAGAACAGTTTTGCTTTGTAGGAAAGTGAGGCTTGGAAAGCTTAAACAGCATGTCACTGTGCCAGAGCTACGAGGTGGCACCCCAAAGAGGAGCCATTTCTACCTGGCGCCAAAGCCTATAGGACCCGCATTCTTCCTGCCACATCACCTCTCAAGGTCAGGTAAGAAGTTGGTAAAAGCTCAACTCTCCTGACTTCCAAGTTCCTACCTGGAGTTCTTAGGCCTCACTGACTCTTCAGTAAACCATGACATGTCCTGGCTGGTGGCTCCGTTGGTTGGAGCGTCATCCCATACACCAAGAGGCTAGAGTTCAATTTCTGGTCAGAGCACATAGTACCTAGTTTGCGGGTTTAACCTCCAGTCAGGGCCTGTACAATCTCTCTCTCCCCACCCTTCCCTCTCTCTAAAATCAATGAAAACATATCCTGCCCTAGCCGGTTTGACTCAGTGGATAGAGTGTCAGCCTGCGGCCTGAAGGGTCCCAGGTTCGATTCCAGTCAAGGGCACATGCCTGGGTTATGGGTTCGATACCCAGTAAGGGGCGTGCAGGAGGCAGCCGATCAATGATTCTCTCTCATCATTGATGTTTCTATCTCTCTCTCCCTCCTTCTCCCTTGCTCTCTGAAATCAATAAAAATATTTTTTAAAAATAAAATAAAATAAAAACATATCCTTAGGTGAGAATTTAACAACAACAACAAAAAACACAACAGAGGAGTCCACCGCCATGGGATATTTCAGTTTAGACTATGATGGGCGTATTTTTATACCATGCACCTTTTTAATAACACAAGCAATGGCAGTAACAGCTACTCCTTGCTCAAATCAGTTATTTAAAAAGAGGTTAAGGGCTGGCCAGATACCTGATAGATGAACTCATCAATGATATCCCAGAGCCACTGGTTGGGTAGTTCAAGGGGAGCAGGACCATCAGCATCTGCACAGAAGATCACAGAAAAGTCAGACTAGAAGCAAGGACTTTGCCACTTGGTAAGGCTGCAGAGCACATTTTACAGTTCTCTCTTAAAAAGACTGTAATTCATGCCCTAGCTGGTGTGGCTTAGTTGGTTAGGCCTCGTCCCGTGCACAGAAAGATCGCCAGTTTGATTCCCAGTCAGGGCACATGCCCAGATTGTGGGCTCAATGCCCGGTAGGGGGATGTGAAGGAGACAGATCAACGTTTTGCTCTTACTGTCTCTCTTGCTCCCTCACTTCCTCTAAAATCAATAAAAACATATCCTTGGGTAAAAAAAAAAAAAAATAGGTTGTGAGTTTCCATACTCTTCCTTGAAAACCTGTCTAGCATCTCTTTTTTTTTAAAGATTTTTTTCATTGATTTTGAGAGAGAGATCAATGTGGGAGCCAAACATCCATCATCTTCCTCCTACAAGACCCCTACTGGGGATTGAGCCCGAAACCCGGGCATCAAGCATATGACCCGACCGGGAATTGAACTGGCAACCTTTCAGTGCACAGGATGGGCCCAACCAGCTGAGCTACACTAGCTAGGGCTAAAAAAAATCTTTAAAAAACTATATATCAGAAGGCATTATCCCCTCTCCACCTGCACATTATATCCTGTTAAGAAGAGCTGGAGGTCAATACTAGGCCAAATCATACCCTCCCCCTCCCTCACTTGCCCAAACCCCAGACTCACTAAGAATGTAGTTGAAGAGATTGCAGTAGTTATAATAGGATTCAAACCTCTGTTCCAAGGAAGGTCCCCCCTGTAAAGAGAGCAGAGACATCAGGACATAAGTCATTAATTGCAATGTGTTACTAATGGTGTCCCATGACAGCTGAAAACAAATACAGGAGAATTGATGTCTGTTCTCTCCTTCCTAATATGCAAAGAGCACTCCAGCAAGAGGGAAGACAAAAGTGCTATGAGTTCCAAGAGACCACAATGGTCAGGTTTTTATTATTTTTTTTATTATTATTATTATTTTTAAAGAAAGGAAGGAAGAGGGGGAGAGGAGAGAAACATTGATGCAAGAGAGCAAAGCATCCATGGGTTGATTCCTACATGCCTCCTTACTGGGGATCAAGCCTGAAACCCAGGCATGTGCCAGACTGGGAATTGAACCAATCTTTCAGTGCACAGGACGAGGCCCAACCAACTGAGCCACCCTAGCCAGGGCCACAATGATCAGGTTTTATGGCAACAACCGTAACCAAACATTAGGGAACAGGCATGCACATCCAGCAAAGCAGAGGAAGGAAAGGTGTTTCAGCAAAACCAGTACTAACAAAGGCAAAAAGGTAAAACTGTGGGACTTTAAGGTAAGAAGAGACAATGCTACACTGGACTACACCAGGCCAGGAATGAAGAGGTCTTTAAGATCCAAACAAAAACCTAGAAAACAAAATCTAGGCCAGGAGGCCAGCAAATCCACCATCACCTGTTTTAGTAAAGTTTTACTGGAACACAGCCATGACCACTCCTTGTCTACAGCACAGCTGAATAAATTCGAGAGATCATTATGACCTTTAAAGTCTAAAATACTATCTAGGCCCTGGCCAGTTTGGCTCAGTGGATGGAGCATCAGCCCGCAGCCTGAAGGGTCCCAGATGATTCGGTCAAGGGCATCTACCCCAGTTGCAGGATCGATTCCCTGGTTGGGGCGGGGTGTGAGGCAACCAATTGAAGTGTCTCTCTTACATCAATGTTTCTGTTTCTCCCTCTCCCTTCCACTCTCTCTAAAAATCAATGCAAAAACTTGGGTGAGGATTAACAACAATAATAAAAAACTTAAGTGGGCAAGAGTGGAAACTGAAACGAGCGGAGCAACTACTCAGTAGTTCAGGAATGAGATAATGCAGGGGTCCTCAAACTACGGCCCGCGGGCCACATGCAAATACAAATATTGTATTTGTTCCCGTTTTGATTTTTTACTTCAAAATAAGATATGTGCAGTGTGCATAGGAATTTGTTCATAGTTTTTTTTTAAACTATAGTTCGGCCCTCCAACGGTCTGAGGGACAGTGAACTGGCCCCGTTTAAAAAGTTTGAGGATCCCTGAGATAATGCCTTGAACTATCAGCAGTGGTAAAAGAAGTAATTGATTTCAAGAAGTATGTTGAAGGTATAGGTAACCAGATTTGCTACAAGAGTAAAGTCAAATGAGAAAAAAGTCAAGATTGATACCAATGCCCGGCTGGTGTGGCTCAGTGTTGAGCATTGACCTATGAACCAGGAGGTTAGGGTTTGATTCCTGGTTGGGGGATGTGCCCAGGTTGTGGGCTTGATCCCTGGTAGGGGGCGTACAGAGGCAGCTGATCAATGATTCTCCCTCATCAGTGAGGTTTGTTTCTTTCTCTCTCAAATCAATAAAAATACATTAAAAAAAAAAAAAAAAGAATGATACCAAGGTGTTCCGTCCAAGTAACTGGATGACTGGTGGTATCATTTATTGAGATAATGAATATGGGTTAAACAGGCTTAGAGAGAAAATAAGAGTTCAATTTGAAGCATGTTAAACTTAAGATGACTATTAGACAGCCAAGTGGAGGTGTTGAACAGATTAAAATCTGGATCTAGAGAGACTGGAGCCTAAGAGATTTTTAAGTCACTGGTGTATATAAATACTGCAGATGTGTTTTTGTTGTTGTTGCTAATACTCACCCAAGGATATTTTTTTTCATTGATCTTTAGAGAGAGTGGAAGGGAGGGAGACAGATGGGAAGAGAGAAAAAGAGAAACATCGATGTGAGAGACACATCGATTGGCTGCCTCCTACACACACCCAAGTGGGGCCAAGGATCGAACCTGCAACCCCGGTATGTGCCCTTGACTGGCAATCAAACCTGTGACCCTGCATTACACGGGCCAACACTCTAACCACTGAGAAAACCATCCAGGGCAGTGCAGATTGTATTTTAAGAGGCTCAGGCACTCTAAAATTTATAAATTAGGAAGAAAAGAATTAAACAAGTGCCCCAAGTTGAGGTAATGTGTTAAAAAGAACCCTGGTGTCACAGTAAGACAGATCTGGGTTCAAGTCTGTTAACTGTAGGAATTTGAGAAAAAGCAACCTCTCTGTACCTCAGTTTGCCTACTTTGCAGGATCACTGTGGGAGTAGACACGTGGATGTATTCCAAGAGCCCAGCACTGTGCCTGGCAAACAGTGACAGTTTTATTTATGTTTCAGAGAGAAGAAGGCTCCGTAGCAATGCACAAGGGAAAAAGGACATTCCAAGCAGAGGCAGCACACAGTGCTTGGAACACTCTATTGGGATGGCAGCCTAAACCAGTGCAACGTGATGAGTGCCCAGCCAAGGAGAACTGGGGGTGGAAAAACTAAAAAGGATGGACAGGCCATGCAGTGTTATAGTTTCTAGACTCAATTCTCCCACTGCCACTTCTTAAAACATGCCAACCACTCTCGGGCACTGAACCAATATAAACCAGTGACTGTGTTCTGGGGACAAAATTACAGAAAGTTAAAAAAAACTGCCAGCAGCCCGGCTGGTGTAGCTCAGCGGTTGAGCATTGAGCCAGGAACCAAGGGGCCACTGGTTCAATTCCCAGTCAGGGCACATGCCCGGGTTGTGGACTTGATACCCTGTGGGGGGCGTGCAGGAGGCAGCCCATCAATGATGTTCCCCTCCTATCATGGATGTTTATATCTCTCTATCCCTCTCCCTTCCTCTGTCTCTAAAAAAAAAAATCAATAAAATATATTTAAAAAAAAAACTTGCCAGAATCGTTTAGATACTCACACTGACTTTAGCATATATGTGCCTGTAGTATAATTCTTTGTACAAAATCAGGAAGACAGCATCTGAAAGAGATGGCAAAGGAGTACTTTAGTAATCCACAAAACAACTAGGGAATTCTGGCAGTTTTAGCCCCTTAGGGGAGTAAAGGGATAAACGTGATTTCAGAGACTGAACAGCTAAACTCTAATACTTACACCTAAAAACACATGCAACAAGAAAATTTGTTTCTCGAGGGAACGAGACTAGACGTCGGGTAGTGAGCACAAAATACACTATACAGAGGTTGTATTATAAAGCTGTACACCTGAAATTTATATAATGTTATTAACCGATGTTACTCCAATAAATTTAATTAAAAAAGAAAATTCATTTCTCATTTTACTCTTTCAACCTCATCAATTTAATTCAGGTCCATTCCTGTTCACCGTTTAGAGACTTGTGCCATACAGTTGCTTAAATAAAACAGCACGTAAGTAAATGGTAACTCCATGAAAAGCAGTATGATGCTACCTATCAAAATTGCAAATACATGGGTATCGCTGACTTAGTTGGAACTTGGCTAGCATCTGGGAACCTCGATTTCAGAAGGGTTCCCACCACCCTGAAAAGGGGCTCTCCCCGCTGTGCCTAAACTGTTCCAACCATATGGTTTATTCTCAACACCGACTTTTCCTTCTGGGAGTCTGGAATGTTGGGGCATGTTAGGCAGAGTGTGTGCCTACATGACCAGCCCAGATAACATCCCTGGACACCAAGCCTGTAATGAGCTTCTCTGGCACTCCATCCACTTGTCCTTCCAATCCCTTGTTTGAGGAGTTAAGTGTGCCTGTGACTGCACGGGATGGACTGTTGGAAACTTGCGCCTGGTTTCCTCCTGACTTCAGCGCATGCACCTTTTCCCTTTGCTGACTTTGCTCTGAATCCTTTTGCTATAAACCCTGGTAGCTGTAGAGACCACTACACACCGAGTACTGAGTCCTCCCAGCAAATCATCAAACTTGGAGGTGGTCTTAGGAATGCTGAAGATACAGAATATGTACTCTCCAAAAATATAATGAATTTTTTAAAAATGGAAAGGGACATTTAGTTTATATGAAAAAGGAACAAAAGAGCTACAGTTAAGTCTTGAACAACACAGTTTGAACTGTGCAAGTCCACTTATACATGGCATTTTTTCAGTAAATACCTATACTATTCTTTTATTGTGGTCGGGAGACTGTAGATGAAAAGGACCAACTATATGCATTGATCTGTGCCATTTGATATAAAGTCACTGGGGAATCATAAACGAAACAACGGTTTCTGAGGAATCAAAAGTTATATGCAGATTTGACTGTGTGGGGGTTCGGCACCCCTAACCCCTACGTTGTTCCAAAAGTCGACTGTAGTGGTACATCTACACAATGGAATACTACGCCGCTATAAAAAAGAAGGAACTTTTACCATTTGCAACAGCATGGATGGAACTAGAGTATTACGCTAAGTGAAATAAGCCAGTCGGAGAAAGATAAGTATCACATGATCTCACTCATATGTGGGATATAATGATCAACATAATTTGATGAACAGAATAGATCCAGAGACAAATGGCAGGGGAGGGGGGCGTTGGAGAGCAACCAAAGGACTTATATGCATGCATATTAGCATAACCAATGGACACAGACCCTGGGGCGGTGGGGGCTTGCCCAGGGTGGGAATGGCTGGGTGGGGGATTGGGGAAAAAGGAGACATATGTAAAACTTTAGACAGTAAATAAATTTAAAAAAAACAAAAAAATACCGCCCTAGCCAGTTTGGCTCAGTGGATAGAGCGTCAGCCTGCAAACTGAAAGGTCCCAGGTTCGATTCCGGTCAAGGGCACATGTCTGGGTTGTGGGCTCGATCCCCAGTGGGGGACTTGCAGGAGGCAGCCGATCCATGATTCTCTCTCATCATGGATGTTTCTTTTTTTTTAATTTTTATTGATTTCAGAGAGGACGGGAGAGGGAGAGAGGGACAGAAACATTAATGATGAGAATCATGGATCGGCT